CAGTTTTATGCTTGTCGGAATATGTTTCACTGATGTTGAAATCCAGTCGAGAGGCAGATGCCATTTTGTTTGCATGTCATATAGTCGGTAGCGATCTCTAACATAAATATAATGATATTTTGTACATTTAACATAGCGGTAAGATAAATACCTACCGGATCGGGTAACGCTGCTACAAAGAGGCATACATCAGACCGTATTACCCTCGAGAGAATCATACAACTTATAATCTAGGTGTAGCAGAATGTGGACCTCTTTGGCCAGGTAGAAAAGTGTCCAACGTTGGAACAGAAGGTCCTTGTTTTGAATTCCTTCATCAGACATTTTTGGCTGCTACATAGGCATCATCAGTCGTTATGGTTAGGTTCTGCACTTGGACTGAACAATGGAATGACTAACAATAACAGATTCAGCCAATCAGAAAGCTGCTTTTCTGAGCTTTATGGAACAAGTTTCAAACTGATGACTTTCATTTCAGACTACCCTTTGAAAAAATAATTTAACAAAGTTGTCAACTCAAATATTCAAAATAAAATCTGAAATGTCAAAATAGATGGTTTGGTTCGTATGGCCACGTTTCCCTCAGGCTTTGGAAGATATTTTTTCATTTCAATGTTTATCCAACTGAAGAGAGAGATAGACGATGATTACGGGATCAGTCGTGTTAGAATCTTCAGCATCATAAGTGTGTTGTCAAAGGCAGGAAGTGGGAGTGGGTGGTGAAGATGTCTGACTTAGATGTAGTTTGTCTCACAGTCCCTGACCCGCATTATACCCCCTTCCATCCAGCCCTGCAATGCTGAAACCCTAAAAAAAGCAAGGCTAGATTTCTTCAGATTCAATCTCCCATCTTACTGGGTCTCCTTTTCAATTTAAGTGGAATTATTTGTTTTTATCAGTATTGTATATATTTAGATATTAAGTGTTGGTTGATGATGAAATCATCCAAACTGCGTAGATTGATGCTTTAGCATTGCAGGGAGGGCTGGGCTGTAGGAAAATAACATGGTACCGTTTGTATCCCTGATACATATCATCATCAATACAGGAGGTCATCAGAGACGGTCATCAGAGACGTATCACCTCACGGAGGCAACAGTTTAACAACTTAAAAAATGATTACAGCTTCTAGAACCCAACAAACTTGGACAGATTTCAAGGCACATGTGTACAATCTTATTTCTGTTTAGAATTTCCTTCAGGTAAACAGCTAGTTAGTGATAAACTTTGATAGCACGTCCAAGGTCCCAGTGATTTGAAGATGACCTGTTGTTTTTATAACAGTGCCTTTATCGGGGAGGTCTCCCCGGTATCAAGTTGTTTCGATAATCATAATTCCATGTCATAGCTGGAATACATGTCAGAATCAGAATCTTCCCTGAATTTCTTATTTGATATCAGCAAATCATGTGTTATAAAAATCATGTTCAGTGATGATATGTAAGCCGATGTATAAATGACTATATAAGTGTGGACTGATAGTCTACACTTAGCTTTTGAACATGTTTCCTTGGTAAGAAGGTAGTTGTGCTAGTCTACACTTAGTTTTTGAACATGTTTCCATGGTGACATGGTGAACCAGATGTCAAATGGGAGTGTCTGAACCAGTTGTCAAATGGAAGTGTCTGAACCAGTTGTCAAATGGGACTCTCTGAACCAGTTGTCAGATGGGACTGTCTGAACCAGTTGTCAAATGGAAGTGTCTGAACCAGTTGACATATTGGACTGTCTGAACCAGTTGTCAGATGGAAATGTCTGAGCCATTTGTCAGATGGGACTGTCTGAATCAGTTGTCAAAAGGAAGTGTCTGAACCTGTTGTCAAATGAGACTGCCTGACCAGTCGTCAAATGGAAGAGTCTGAACCAGTGGTCAAATGGACTATCTGAACCAGCTGTCAGATGGGACTGTCTGAATCAGTTGTCAAAAGGAAGTGTCTGAACCTGTTGTCAAATGAGACTGCCTAAACCAGATGTCAGATGGGACTATCTGAACCAGTTGTCAGATGGGACTGCCTGACCATTTGTCAAATGGAAGATTCTGAACCAGTGGTCAAATGGACTATCTGAACCAGATGTCAGATGGGACTGCCTGAACCAGTTGTCAGATGGGACTGCCTGACCAGTTGTCAAATGGAAGAGTCTGAACCAGTGGTCAAATGGACTATCTGAACCAGCTGTCAGATGGGACTATCTGAACCAGTTGTCAGATGGGACTGCCTGACCAGTTGTCAAATGGAAGAGTCTGAACCAGTGGTCAAATGGACTATCTGAACCAGCTGTCAGATGGGACTGTCTGAACCAGTTGTCAGATGGAGTGTCTGAACCATTTGTCAGATGGGACTGTCTGAACCTGTTGTCAAATGGGAGTGTCTGAACCAGTTGTCAAATGGGAGTGTCTGAACCAGTTGCCAAATAGAACTATCTAAAGTTGTTGTTAAATGGGACTATCTGAACCAGTTGTCAAATGGAAGGGTTTGAACCAGTTGTCAAATGGAATCTGTCAAAACCGGCAGCTGTCCAATCCAGCAAGTTGTCAACGCCGGCATAAAATCTCAGTCCAGTCTGTGGCTAGTGCATTTATCATCATTTAAAAGCTCTGCAATCCAGCAGCTGTCAATTCCAGATCTCGGCATTAAATGAGCTAACCGATTATGTGTTTATACAGTTATCAGCGCTGTCTAATTCGGCACGTGGCGAGGAGTTGGTCGAGTGAGTGAGTGAGTTTAGTTTTATGCCACACTCAGCAATATTCCAGCTATATGGCAGCTGTCTGTAAATAATTAAGTCTGGACCAGAGAATCCAGTGATCCGCAGCATGAGCATCGATCCTCACAATTGGGAACCGATGACATCGAGTGTGTATTGTCACTAATTAATCCTGCGTAACAACTACAAAGATAATTTAATCTTAGTTCAGTATGGTACACTTGTACATGTAATTAGTGATTTGACACGTTTTATTGTCAGTGTGTGCAGTAGTTGAGAGAACCACGTGATACAACAATGTATATGAGAGTGACAAAGCTGGTCCAGTTCTAGTTGTAGGTAACTGTGTCAGCTCTACAATCCGGCATGCTGTCTAAACCGGATAATTTCTTCAGTCCCGATGAGTGCTGATTTAGACAGCTTCCACTGTATACCTTTTCACAGACGTGAATAACTCAATAAGTTGTCTGAAAAGATGAATTAAATCATTTACTCTCTGATTCACCAAACCAGTAGACTAACATCTAGTCAATGAAATGAACATATTTTACAGAAAAAAACTGTTCATAAAAAATAATCATAACATATAATGAACAGGAACCCAGAGACTTTCTTCATTTTCTTTATTTTCAGATCTAGACTTGCCACATATTTTAGACTTGCATGGGCTTTCTTGGATACATTTGTTGGATATATTTGTTTTAGGGTCTGTATGACAGACTACCAAACGAGTTGTCAGATGTAAATGACTAAACGAGTTGTCAGATGTAAATGACTAAACGAGTTGTCAGATGTAAATGACTAAACGAGTTGTCAGATGTAGAGGACTAAACGAGTTGTCAGATGTAGAGGACTAAACGAGTTGTCAGATGTAGAGGACTGAGAGAGTTGTCAGATGTAGAGGACTAAATGAGTTGTCAGATGTAGAGGACTAAACGAGTTGTCAGATGTAGAGGACTGAACTAGTTGTCAGATGTAGAGACTAACGAGTTGTCAGATGTAGATGACTAAACGAGTTGTCAGATGTAGATGACTAAACGAGTTGTCAGATGTAGAGGACTAAACGAGTTGTCAGATGTAGAGGATTAAATGAGTTGTCAGATGTAGATAACTAAACGAGTTGTCAGATGTAGATGACTAAACGAGTTGTCAGATGTAGATGACTAAACGAGTTGTCAGATTTAGATGACTAAACGAGTTGTCGATGTAGATGACTAAGATAGATGTAGAGGACTGAGATAGTTGTCAGATGTAGATGACTAAACGAATTGTCAGATTTAGATGACTAAACGAGTTGTCCAATGTAGAGGACTGAGATAGTTGTCAGATGAAGATGACTAAACGAATTGTCAGATGTAGAGGACTGAGATAGTTGTCAGATGAAGAGGACTAAACGAGTTGTCAGATGTAGAGGACTGAGAGAGTTGTCAGATGTAGAGGACTGAGATAGTTGTCAGATGTAGAGGACTAAACGAGTTGTCAGATGTAGATGACTAAACGAGTTGTCAGATGTAGATGACTAAACGAGTTGTCAGATGTAGATGACTAAACGAGTTGTCAGATGTAGAGGACTGAGATGAGTTGTCAGATGTAGAGGACTGAGAGTTGTCAGATGTAGAGGACTGAGATAGTTGTCAGATGTAGAGGACTAGATAGTTGTCAGATGTAGATGACTAAACGAGTTGTCAGATGTAGATGACTAAACGAGTTGTCAGATGTAGAGGACTAAATAGTTGTCAGATGTAGAGGACTAAACGAGTTGTCAGATGTAGATGACTAAACGAGTTGTCAGATGTAGATGTAGAGAGTTGTCAGATGTAGAGGACTGAGAGAGTTGTCAGATGTAGAGGACTGAGATAGTTGTCAGATGTAGAGGACTAAACGAGTTGAGTTGTCAGATGTAGAGGACTAAACAAGTTGTCAGATGTAGAGGATTAAATGAGTTGTCAGATGTAGAGGACTAAACAAGTTGTCAGATGTAGATGACTAAACGAGTTGTCAGATTTAGATGACTAAACGAGTTGTCAGATGTGGGATTGTGTGTTACTGCCTAACTAGTGTTAAGTGGAGTGAGTGAGTGAGTTTGGTTTTTTAGCAATATTCCAGCAATATCATGGCAGGGGACACCAGAAATGGGCTTCACAGATTGTACCCATATTGGGAATCGAACCCGAGTCATCGGCGTGATGAGCAAATGCTTTAACCACTAGGCTACCCCACTGCCCCGTGTTAAGTGGACTGGCATAGAAGAGGTGTGGTGTTGTTGAAGAAGGTCTTGTGTTTTCTTCTCCCAGTGGCAACAGAGCAGGCTCCTGAGTTAGCCATGAGACCAAACTTCCTGTGTGCATTCGGCCTGATGACAGAGCAAGCTGGCAAGATAGGACTCTCGCAGAATACATCGGTCGTATCTATGTACGAACACTACCAGGTGAGTGCAGGTGTACTTAGTCACAGAATACATCAATCATATCCATGTACGAACACTACCAGGTGAGTGCAGGTGTACTTAGTCACAGAATACATTGGTCGTATCCATGTACGAATACTACCAGGTGAGTGCAGGTGTACTTAGTCAGATAATACATCAATCATATTCATGTACGAACACTACCAGGTGAGTGCAGGTGTACTTAGTCACAGAATACATCGGTCGTATCTATGTACGAACACTACCAGGTGAGTGCAGGTGTATTTAGTCATGGAATACATCGGTCGTATCTATGTACAAATACTACCAGGTGAGTGCAGGTGTACTTAGTCACAGAATACTTTGGTCGTATCCATGTACGAACACTACCAGGTGAGTGCAGGTGTACTTAGTCACAGAATACTTTGGTCGTATCCATGTACAAACACTACCAGGTGAGTGCAGGTGTATTTAGTCATGGAATACATCGGTCGTATCTATGTACGAATACTACCAGGTGAGTGCAGGTGTACTTAGTCACAGAATACTTTGGTCGTATCCATGTACGAATACTACCAGGTGAGTGCAGGTGTATTTAGTCATGGAATACATTGGTCGTATCTATGTACGAATACTACCAGGTGAGTGCAGGTGTACTTAGTCACAGAATACTTTGGTCGTATCCATGTACGAATACCACCATGTGAGTGCAGGTGTATTTAGTCATGGAATACATCGGTCGTATCTATGTACGAATACTACCAGGTGAGTGCAGGTGTACTTAGTCACAGAATACTTTGGTCGTATCCATGTACGAATACCACCATGTGAGTGCAGGTGTATTTAGTCATGGAATACATCGGTCGTATCTATGTACGAATACTACCAGGTGAGTGCAGGTGTACTTAGTCACAGAATATCACAGAAAATATCAGCCGTATCCATCTATGTACACTACCACAAATATACCTGTTGTATCCATGGACATGCCGGGGCGGTGTGGTAGTGTAGTGGTTAAAGCGTTCGTTCGTCACGCCGAAGACCCGGGTTCGATTCCCCACATGGGTACAATATGTGAAGCCCATTTCTGGTGTCCCCTGCCGTGATATAGCTGGAATATTGCTAAAAGCGGCATAAAACTAAACTCACTCATGGACACGCCATCAGATTAAAGAAGATATAAGATGGTACTACACAATTCAGTCTCATTGGACACACTATTACATGAAGAAAAATTTGGTGCAGCATATCTCAAAAAGAAAATACTATTAATCCATTTCTTTGAAAAAAATATTAGATTATCTGATAGAAAAATAAATCTTCCTTTGAATCACTCTAAACAACTGATGATTTTGGCCGATAAATGTTACACCGAGTTATACCATGCAGACACAACTGTTCTTTTGATATGAAAGCTGATTGAAAGGGGCGGTATGCCTGCACAAGGCATATGCCCAGACACTTTGTTTGTTGCTTCAAGGAAATCTCATCTCATTATGCACCTAGATTCTATCATATGTCCCATTCATTTCCTATGATAGAACAACCTGTTTGGGGAGATCTGTGCGTAACAAGCTCCCCAGACACTTTCATCAAGTGCCCACTACTGGGACCTCAGCTTTCATTATTATCATTCTCCCTGCATTGAAAATGTCATGTATTTTATTTGGGTGAATGTAAGCCTGTGTGCCCTGCCTTGCTATGTACGTAGCAGTGTGGAGTTTACAATGAAAGGTGACCCAAGGCAGGTGGGATATAAATGACCAATATTTATGACTTGACCTTTCTTTGTACATATGATAGGTGGAACTGCAAGTGTTTAGCCAGGGAACAAAACCAGAGCGTGATGATGTGAGGGAACCTGTTGATGGGGCTGCCGTCATCACTTCTGTCAGCTTCCTCTATACAAACATGGGGAAATAGATATCATGCAGCTTGATGGACAGAGGGGGGGATGGGGATAGAGGGGGCTTTGTTGCCGATAGATGTACACGTTTGTTTGGAAAAGGGGCCATAGGTACTGATATTAGACATCTTGGATGGGGGCATGTTCTGGATACTTTAACTGTTGATGTGGAAGCGGGGATATTGAACATTCACCATTGATATCATATGTCTTGGAGGAAGAGGGGATATTGAACATTCACCATTGATATATGTCTTGGAGGAAGAGGGGATATTGAACATCCACCATTGATATCATAGATCTTGGAGGAAGAGGGGATATTGAACATTCACCATTGATATCATAGATCTTGGAGGAAGCGGGAATATTGAACATCCACCATTGATATAGATCTTGGATATAGAAGAAGAGGGGATATTGAACATTCACCATTGATATCATATGTCTTGGAGGAAGAGGGGATATTGAACATTCACCATTGATATATAGATCTTGGAGGAAGAGGGATATTGAACATTCACCATTGATGTCATAGATCTTGGAAAGAGGGATATTGAACATTCACCATTGATATCATAGATCTTGAGGAAGAGGATATTGAACATTCACCATTGATATCATAGAAGGAGGAAGAGGATATTGAACATTCACCATTGATATCATAGATCTTGGAGGAAGAGGGGATATTGAACATTCACCATTGATATCATAGATCTTGGAGGAAGAGGGGATATTGAACATTCACCATTGATATCATATGTCTTGGAGGAAGAGGGGATATTGAACATCCACCATTGATATAGATCTTGGAGGAAGAGGGGATATTGAACATTCACCATTGATATCATAGATCTTGGAGGAAGAGGGGATATTGAACATTCACCATTGATATCATATGTCTTGGAAGAAGAGGGATATTGAACATCCACCATTGATATAGATCTTGGAGGAAGAGGGGATATTGAACATTCACCATTGATATCATATGTCTTGGAGGAAGAGGGGATATTGAACATCCACCATTGATATCATAGATCTTGGAGGAAGAGGGGATATTGAACATCTTGACCATTGATATCATAGATCTTGGAGGAAGAGGAGATATTGAACATTCACCATTGATACATATGTCTTGGAGGAAGAGGAGATATTGAACATCCATTGATATCATAGATCTTGGAGGAAGAGGAGATATTGAACATTCACCATTGATATCATAGATCTTGGAGGAAGAGGGGATATTGAACATTCACCATTGATATAGATGTCTTGGAAGAAGAGGGGATATTGAACATTCACCATTGATATCATATGTCTTGGAGGAAGAGGGGATATTGAACATCCACCATTGATATAGACCTTGGAGGAAGAGGGGATATTGAACATTCACTATTGATATCATATGTCTTGGAGGAAGAGGGGATATTGAACATCCACCATTGATATCATAGATCTTGGAGGAAGAGGGGATATTGAACATTCACCATTGATATCATATGTCTTGGAGGAAGAGGGGATATTGAACATTCACCATTGATATCATATGTCTTGGAGGAAGAGGGGATATTGAACATTCACCATTGATATCATATGTCTTGGAGGAAGAGGGGATATTGAACATTCACCATTGATATCATATGTCTTGGAGGAAGAGGAGATATTGAACATTCACCATTGATATCATAGATCTTGGAGGAAGAGGGGATATTGAACATTCACCATTGATATCATAGATCTTGGAGGAAGAGGAGATATTGAACATCCACCATTGATATCATAGATCTTGGAGGAAGAGGGGATATTGAACATTCACCATTGATATCATAGATCTTGGAGGAAGAGGAGATATTGAACATCCACCATTGATATCATAGATCTTGGAAGAAGAGGGGATATTGAACATTCACCATTGATATCATATGTCTTGGAGGAAGAGGAGATATTGAACATTCACCATTGATATCACAGGTCTTGGAGGAAGAGGAGATATTGAACATATACCATTGATATCATGGGACTTGGAGGAGGAGGAGATATTGAACATTCACCATTGATATCATAGATCTTGCAGGATGAAGAGATATGGAACATTCACCATTGATGTCATAGATCTTGGAGGATGAAGAGATATTGAACATTCACCATTGATGTCATAGATCTTGGAGGATGAAGAGATATGGAACATCCACCATTGATGTCATAGATCTTGGAGGAAAAGGAGATATTAAACAGGGCTCCAGATAAGGGCTGTATCGGCGTATGTACGGATAAAAAATATGCACAATACGGAAGGACATATTTTGGAAAAAGTAGCAGATATGCACCACAGCAATGGTGTACGGTCTTAGAATCATGTACAGTAGTATTTATCCGAAACAAGTATTGTTTTATTGTTCATTGACCTGTTTACACAAAAGTAGCAATGGTGTGGTGCATACATGAAATGAATGACAAGATTACTGGTACTCCATTGAATTCCATTCAGTACTCTAAATGTACTCTTAACGTTTTCCAGTACTCTTATATTGAAAAATTAAGGAGTACATACTCCTGATGTTGAAAAATTATCTGGAGCCCTGATTAAACATCCACCATTGATGTCACTGATCTTGGAGGAAGAGGAGATATTGAACATCCACCATTGATATCATAGATCTTGGAAGAAGAGGAGATATTGAACATATACCATTGATATCATAGATCTTGGAGGAAGAGGAGATATTGAACATCCACCACTGATATCATAGATCTTGGAGGAAGAGGAGATATTGAACATCAAACATTGATATCATAGATCTTGGAAGAAGAGGAGATATTGAACATCCACTATTGATATCATAGGTGAGGTGAGGTGAGGTGAAATTGGGGTTAATGTCGTGCTTGAGAATATTTCGCTCATATGAAGACGTGCATGCATGTGTATGTGTATGTGCGGCTGCTTGTACTAGCCCAGACTTAAGCTGGTTTTATAGTGCTAGCCCACTGAGATACCATACCACAGTGAAGCATGAATACCCCACTCAGACACATTCTACTGACTCCAAGCCGACCAGTCCTTGATTTATCCATTAATGCCGAGCGCCAGGCCAACAAGTACCATATTTTAACGTCTTTT